CCAGGAAAAACCCTAAATCCTAAACCCTAAACCGTAAACTCCTCCTCAAGCTCTGTAGGGTTATGATGTAGGCATATTCCCGCATCGAAGGGTCCCGGGCTCTTAGGGTTTAGGGGTTTAGGGTTTAGGGGATGAAAAACTTCTGCGGTAAGATTAGCTTTCATGATTATCTAGATGAAGTTTCTGTACGCGTTCTTCCGTGGGTTCCGTGAGGGTTCAGCAAGCCTTCAAATAAGGGATTAAGGGGAAAGGGTACTGAACAAGCAGAGCAGTTTTTTGTTTGTTTTCGTGTTGTTACAGAGTCTTGAGGAAATGTGAGGAAATACTATCACAATAGTCATACCGGCCTTTTCGGATAAGTCAGAGTCGTAAAGTATAGTCCTACCTGCAAGCCAGGAAACTTACAGCTTGAATTAGGGGTTCCTTGTCATGAAACCTGTACATGGGTAGTTCTCGAAATTAGGGTCCCGTTTTGGGTCCTTCTTCTAAGCGTGCTGCATTATGCATTATATTGGGGACTTAAAAAAGGTACCTCAATTTAGAGAGTTACCCATGTAACCCCTTACAGCAGAGCAAGCCTTGTAGGTCGGTGTCAGATAAAGTCTGAAAGGCGACACCATACACCCATAATGTAGGAGCCTAGGCAATTACCTATACTATTTTGGGCGGTTCCTTCTTACAATTATACTAGAATGGGCCCCAAAACCCTCTTCTAATTATTAAGTACCCAAACGCACAGTGCCCTGAACTCCGGAAGTTCAGACCAAACCTCTGTGACCCGTAGAGAGATTTTTATATATAAACATTAGCGTCATGTCTACGGGGTTTCGCTTTATGTAAACGAGGATGTCTTAAAGTATGGCTCAAAAACGCGCGCTGGTTATGATGTATGTAAGGAAGGTTTTTTGACTGATTAGATGTCGTATTATGGTGTAATCCTTACTGGAGGAGCGCTTGTGAATGATCCTGAATTCTAGAGCTTCTACTGCTTCTTCTGAGTAATATTTGGGCCTGAAGCACTATGAATACTGCTGATAGAAAAAGTTCTGCATTACCTTAAGAACGCTAAACTATGGGATTTTTATGGGTGATGCAGGATTTATATCATCAACCGTAGTATGCCCGTGCCTTCCCCCGCTGTCTATGTGGTAGAGTATTCCCCAAGACCCTGTTCTAGTCATAAATTATGGTTTAGGGGTTTAGGGTTTAGGGCTTAGCGAGTTCTAATCATAAACGCGAAAGACTCCAGGTGCTGCTTGTTATACTTTAGGATTCCTCTTATTTAGGCAGTACAAGGGAACGGTCTCCAACAGCAATCTTGTCAATTCCTCGTTTAGTTATTAAGGGCCCTCTACTATAGACCCTGTTATTGATCTAAATAACCCCATTCTAACCATTAAGGCTCCAAAACGCTGAGCCCTAAACCCTGAATCCTTAAACCCTAGACCCAAACCCCACTCTAATTATTAAGGCTCCTTGTTTCAAGAACCCATAAACCCTAAACCCTACACCCAACCCCTACTCCAATTATTAAGGCTCCTTGTTTTTAGAACCCTTCAACCCTAAACCCAAACCCTACTCTAATTAATCAAGGCTCCTTTTTGTTTAGCTTCTTGGCGCTCCTGTGTCCTGCACACCCCACAGCCGACGGCCAAACGTCGACGCGAGATCCGGGCCTCCAAGAAGCTCAGAAACGCCCTTGGGCCGTATTTAAGGTTTAGGGTTTAGGGGTTTTAAGATTTCCTGGAAGGGCTCCTTTAAGGGTTTAGGGTTTTTTAACGCTTCCCCTAAAGGGTTTAGGGTTGTTTAAGGCTTCCCCTAAAGGGATCTTATAGGGCGTCCTTTAAGGGTTTAGGGTTGTTTAAGGCTTCCCCTAAGGGCATCTTATAGGGCGTCCTTTCAGGGTTTAGGGTTGTTTAAGGCTTCCCCTAAAGGGATCTTATAGGGCGTCCTTTAAGGCTTCCCTTAAGGGATCTATACGGGGATTTCCGAAAATAGGGGACCCTAATATAGTACCCTAAATAGTCGGATCCTTATTATAAGGACCCCCAAATACCCTAATTTTCGGAAGCTCCCGTACGGGCTTCCTTTAAGGGCTCCTTTAAACATCCATTGGATTTAGGGTTTTAGGGTTCTCAAGGCCTCCATTTAGGCTTCCCTTCGAGGTCGGGTTTAGGGGTTCAGGGTTTAGGGTTTAGGGTTTAGGGGTTCAGGGTTATGAGGGTTTAGGCTTAGGGTTCCGGATTATAGGGGTTTACGGCTTAGGCGTTCAGGGTTATGGGGGGTTTAGGTTCTCTTAACTTGAAAGTCGGGTTTGGGGTTTGGGGTTCCGTTCAGGGCTCTCCAAAAGGAGGTTTTCGCTTCGGGCCGCAAATCCTGAAGTCAAGGTTCCTGTAAGGGTTCTAATGGGTTCAGGGTGGGGTAGTAAAAGGGGCCATAATAAGTAGAATAGGGTCTTGGGGGTTCCTTTTTTTAATTATAGTATAACGGGCCCCAAAACCCTATTCTAACTATTATGATGCAATGGCTTCTACATTAATCGGTTTAAGGTGGGGTAGTGTAAGGCCCTTTCTGGTTCGAGCCGGGTTCTGAGAACTGTAACCAGTCCTGTGTCCCGATTTATATAAGCCCAACTTCTATGGAGGCCACCTGAAAGTTTAGGGTTACTTAGAGGCCCAGGGGACTTAGTAAGTCGGTTATAAGTAAGGTTATAATTAAGGTAACTCCATTTAGGGTACTTATAACTCTACTTATAACCTACTTACTAAGTCCCCTGGGCCTCCAAGTAGGGTTT